CCCGCCCCTTCCCCCACCCGCTGGTAATAAAAAAATAACAGGAGAAAAACAAAGAGAAGTTGAATAACATATATTCCTCCTGTGTACATGGGAGACACCCAAGAAAACTGAGTAACTCCCCAAAACGGCCCAAGCTACCACCTTAAATACCACCTTCAGATAAAGACAAAAGAAGTCGGGGTGGGGAAGCCAGTTATGGGAGGTACCAGGAAAAGCACAGTAACCAAAGGTGAGGTTGTTACGCAGATTTAAGTCCTTGCCTTCTCCATAGATAAGAGTTTCTAGAAATATAGTCATCTTTCCCTTCCTGGCACAAAGAGGGGGACACCCTCAGAAATGGAGATTTGCCTCATAAGTGTAAAGAAAGTTATTCTTTCTTACAAAAGAACAACTTTTACTCTGTTTTCAGAGCTTTCCTATGTCTGCAGTTTTTGAAAACAATCCATCTAAAATAATCCTTCTGCCAAAAGGGCATATTTGGGGGTGAGAAATTCTGCCTCCCTTCGCAATTCTGGCGCGATGAATCACCCCGGATTGGTATGTTTGTGACACTACGCAAAGGCAAATAATTAACATTGTGTCAGCATCTCAGAGCCATTATAGGTTTCAGATATATTTATAGCTCAACCATGATAATCATCAGGGATGCCAGCCAAAGCCTTCTTCTTTCCCTTTCCTCATTTTCATCAATGGTGACTGCAAGAAAATTCATACGCCCGTAAAAGGAAAAAACCAGACACACGCACGCAACACTGATGGGAGACCAAAGACTGGGAATGTGGTGGGGTCTGCTCTTCTGCAAGGAATGTTTTTTCAATGTGTACAGTGACGAAACTTTTCCATAGACGACATTTTCCACTCAGATCAATCTGCCATGCTTTATGATCAAAATGCAAAACAAGATGATAGACCGAGCAGCGCAGACAGCCCGACCTGCCTTTCAGTGCTTTCCAGGATCCAATTTGAGCTCTGAGCAGCGAACTGCGTCAGTGCTTGAGAACTACAGAAACACCAGGTGAGAATTCAGAAGAGGTCTGTTGTGAAAATGCAAGAAGTGGAACAAAATAGAAATCTTACTCTTAAAAAATCAGTAGGGACGGAAGAACCTGGGAGAGCAAATATTTAAATCAAGGGGCATAAAAATAATTAAGAGAAACAAAATGAGGCTGAAGAAAGACTTTGCCATCTCTTAGGCCCTGCTTGTAAAGAGATAAAAGGGAAAGATGAATATAACTGGAAACAAGGCATTGCTGTGAGCAACTTAACTTGAGCATAGATCTCATCTGTATGACTTTTGAAATATTTAAATATGTTGCATGATTTATGAATGTGTCCACATAGTTTTTGAAACTGCATGTGGTGTAATGTCTTTGTTAATATTTTCCACATGCAAAAAGCGATGGAAGCTAACACTTCATGTCAGTGATAAGGGGACACAGGGAAGCATTATTTTGCAGTAGGTACCTTGGTATCCAGATGTGCTAACCTCTCAGATTATTGTTGTAATTAAATTAATCTCCCACCAGGGGGAGCAAGGGAACAAATCTCAAAGCCCTAAATCCAGGCACATGTCCAATAGAAGGAACATTAGATTCCAGAGGGAACTGCTCAATATTTTTATTTTTTTTTTCCTTCTGGTGAATCACTTGCAGCCTGCATTTTACTGTGGGAAGTTTCGTTCAGATTTATTTTCTCTGGTTTTTCAGCTGCTTATTTTTAGTTGTAAATCTATGTTCTGGTTGAGCAGCAAAGCAATATTCCAGCAAACTCCAGTAGGGAAATATTTTCCTATGGGATTTCTAAATCCTTACATAGTCAGTTTCAACATTGCCTTCCCCAGTGCCTTCCCCAAAGTAGCACCCTGGTAACTGAGCCTGGGGACTGGAGCAGGGGATAAAATTAGATGGGGAGGGGACGTGGTGCTGAGGGAAGCTCCAGGAACAGCTGAAAGACGCTGAAAGATGGACTGGGGAAGCGGGCAGGTCAGCACAATAGAAGTAATTAGCAAAATGCAATTATCATCAGCATATCAGTACCTCCCCCTTGACTGGAGCCCTTGTATTGTCAAGGCTGCACCGGCTCCTCCCCCTCTCCCACCTCCTTTCCTGCAACCCAGTCTCCTCTCTTACTGTCTCTGCCCTTGGAGTTGATTTTAAGCAGGTGGCACCTGGATTCACATGTGTCTGGGGGAGAGAAAGGCAGAAAGGGCCTGGGAGAGCGAGGACCTAGGCTTTGCAGTGGAGATTTTTTTTTTTTGTCGGTTCATACGCTTTACAGGATTTAGCCTGTGCCCATTTGAGAATATTTTACTCCTATTTGTGACCCTCAGCTGGCATGAAAAAGGTCTTTCTTTTCACCTTGACATGGGCTCTTGCAGACGGAGGGATGGAACCCAGGCACTTCACTGTGTGCTCTAAGTATACCTTTTACACATTTAACCTGCCCTTGGAGCTAGTTGTACGATTAGTAGTGTATCCAGTTCATTTCCATCTCTGGTAGCCAGAAACTGTGAAGAGCAAAGTCACAGTTCAGGAAAAGAAATGGGGATGAACACACACACACACACACACACACACACACACACACACACACTCATAACCAGCAGTAACATCTGAGTGAGAAGTAGTATTGAAGGAAGAATATGGGTGCTTTAATTTTTCTTATTTTAAATGTCGATGTTTATTATATTAACATATATAATACTTTTAAAACTACAAAACTAACCCAAAATTAAAATAAAGTTCACTTAAAATAAACACGTTCTGATCAGATGGAAAGAATAAAATGTTGACTCTAAATGAAACAGGTAACTCCAACAATAGTAAAACCTTTACTAATGCTTTCTGCAGCCAGGAGGTTTTCTAAGGACTCATTGGATTCTTATAACAACCCTAGGATGTAAGTATTTTTATCTTTTATCTTTTTCAGATGAAGGAACTGAGGAAGAGAGGCAAGCTGCCTGAGATTATATAGCAGCATAAGCCTCCATGCTATTCGGCCTTTCATTTTCAAAATTATCCGTTATGGTTTGTTTATGACTCTATATTTGTTAATTATTCCTCTAAGAGAGAAAGGGCAAAGGAAAGGTAGGCAGCTTGAGAACATTAAACATAAATAACCCTCAAGTCAATTTGACTTTGTTCTAGGAAATAATCTTACGGATTTTTATGTTGGCAGAAGTGCATATCTAGGCTCTGTCACTCAGTAGGCTGCTAGGATAGGTCTCAGTCTCAGTGTCCGCATCTGTAAAATGGATCTAATAACAGTCAGATCTCCTCCAACCTGGCTACTTCCCCTTAGGTTCTCAGCCTGCCCAGCCAGTCCCCTCCCCACCACCCCTACTCCCAGATTTTGAATACTGGGAAGGAAGAAGCTCTTCTTCCTTCTTGATAGAGAAGAAAGAACTCAACAAGCTCATTCAGGTAACATTTTAGCTGCACAGTGCCTTTCCGAGGGAGGTCAGTACTTTAAAAAAGGACCCAAAGAGGTATGAAAATGCTTATCCAAAGGCATGGTTTAGTTATGAGCTGCTGTGGGCATGAGGTCCTTATGGCAACCATACCTTGATTTGCACTCTCAGTGATTTGCCTTAACTGTAGTTTTCCGTATTCGTCACTGATCTAGCACAAGCAGAGACAGCAACGGTGAGAGACTGCAGCACACTCCTCAGGCCTGCACAGCTCCCCACAGGTGCAGTGAGTCATGGCCATCACAGTGATGCAGCTCCAACTAGGCCTCTCAGTGGGTTCCTCTGGTTTTCCCTTTGTGGACTGTTATATGGGGGGAAAGTAAAAGACTGTCCATTTTATTTTTTTGAGCTTTATGAGATATAATTGACCTCATGAGGTTGTGTACATTTAAGTTGTACAATGTGAAGATTTGATATACTTAAATATTGCAAACTGATTAGCACTATAGAATAGGCGAACACCTGCATCATGCCACATAACGTCATTTTTATGGTGAGAACATTTAAGATCCACTCAGTTAGCAACTTTCAAGTATAAAAGACAATATTATTAATCATAATCACCATGCTCTGTATTGGGGCCCTGAAACTTCTTCATTTTATAAGTGGAAATTTGTACTCTGTGATGAACATCTCCCTCTTTCTCCCACATCACAGCCCCCTGCAACCACCATTCTATTCTCTGTTTCTATGAGTTTGTCTTTTTTTAGATTCCACATATAAGTGAGATCATATAGTATTTGTCTTTCTCTGTCTGATTTACTTTACCTTGCATAATACCCTCAAGGTCCATTTAAATTGTCATAAAAACAAAATGTCCTTTATGGCTAAATAATAATCTATTATGTGTGAGTGTGTGTGTGAGTGAGTGTGAGTGTGTGTGTACAATATATATGTTCTCTCTCCTTTATTCCTTCATCCATTGAGAGACACTGAGGTTTATATATCTTGGCGATGAATATAGGGTACAGATACCTCTTTGAGACAGGGGGACAGGGGGTGTTTTTTTTTTCTTTGTATATGTACCCAGAAGTGGGGCTTATGAATCATATGCTGCTTTTACTTTTAATTATTGGAGGATGCCCCATACTGTTTTCCATGGTGGCTGCACCAATTTACATTCCCATCAGTGGTATACAAGGGTTCCCTTTTCTCTTCATCGTCCCCGAGTCTAGTTATCTCTTGTCTTTTTTATGAAAGCCATTCTGCCAGATGTGAGGTGATATCTCATTGTAGTTTTGATTTTCATTCCCCTGATAATTAGTGATATTAAGCACCTTTCCATGTACTTATTGGCCATCTATATGTCTTCCTTGGAAAAATGTTAATTTACTTCCTCTGTTCATTTTTTAATCAGGTTGTTTGGTTTTTGTTGGTGGTGGTGGTGGTGGTTTTTTTATTGCTATTGAGTTATATGAATTCTTTATATATTTTGAATATTAACCCCTTATCAGGTATATGATCTACAAATATTTTCTCTCATTTTGTAGGTTGCTTTTTACCCATTTAATTTTAGATAGCACCCTTGAATATGGTTTCAAATGGTTTATCTTTCAGAAAAGATAAACACTGACCTCATTGAAGACTCTGGACTGAGAAGTAAACAGCTATTAATTCAGAAGGTACGCATATGGGTTCACTGGCCTGAATCCCTGCTTTGAAACTTTCCTTGAGCAATATTCAGTCTACAACTTGTTAAACAACAGGAAAATCAATACTGAGTAGTGCTGCTTGTGTATACAGTGAATTTGGTTATATGTCCCAGATGCTTTGTTGGGGCCATAGGGTTTGTCAACTCCATAAGAACAGATAGAATCTGGGATAGGAAAGTTTGAATTTAAAAGAGACCACACACACACACACACACACACACACACACACATGACTTTATCTCTTTGACTTGAATATCCAGGGAATATTAACATGCCTAAAGGAAGAATATTTCTGCTGTTTGGAAAGAACAGAGCAATGGTGTGGGGATTAGGAAGGAGCCTTAGAGGGTTTTTTGTCAATGAGAATGATTTTGGCTTCACCCGAAAGAAAAATTCAATTCAAATGTCTCAAACAATTAACAAAATTTATTATTTCACAATATGAAAAGCCTGGAGATAAGTCAATCCTAGGCTGAATCAGAAGATTGATAGAGTCTCAAGGGCAGAGTTTCTCACTTTCACCACTGTCATTCCCTCTGCCATCCTCACAATATTGGCTTAGATCCTTGGTTTTTGTTGTTGTTACTTGTTTGTTTTTTGTTTGTTTGCTCTTTATGAATGTAGTATGGTCCTGTACAGTTGATCCTTGAACAACATAGATGTTAGGCACTCTGTCCCCCTGTCTAGTCAACCATCTGTGTGTAACAACTTTTGATTCCCCAAAAGCTTAAGATGTCTCTCAATAACTATGTGATATTGGTTCCAGGAACCCCTGTGGATACCGAAGTTTGAGAATGCTCAAGTGCCCTGTAGAAAATGGCACGAGATCAGTGCATACTATCAGCCTTCTGCATCTACGGACTCCTGACCATGGATTGAAATCAGTACAGGTATTTACTGAAAAAAATCTGTGTATAAGTGGATCTTCACAGTTGAAACCTGTGTTGTTCAAAGGTCAACTGTACTTACAAGAATCACACCTTCAAACTACAACACCCAATGTCCCAAAGCAAGGGTAGTGAGTAGTGTGGGGAAGAGCATGCAACCTCCTTGTATACTTGTTGAAGAGCTAAAGGAATTTTTCTGGATGCTGTCCCCACTAACTTGACTTTCATCTTCCATCAACCAGCATCATATTCCTGTTTGTGGATCAGTCACTGGTAAGGAAGATACCAGCTCCTTAACTGAAACAGAACAATTAAGATCCATGCCTGGCTTATCCTGAGACAGTAGCCACCAAAGGGATCCCATTAGCAAGGAAGAAGTAGGGAAATGGCAGCCAATGTTGTCTGGGAAGGGCCACTGAGCTATTCAAGAGACAACCTAGGAAGCTAATTATAAAGTACCTCCTTTCCTGTAACTCCTGTCTATTATCCCTGGACTTTAAATGATATCCTGACAAACCAGTTTCAGTTTGCTATGGTCCCTATGGACAAGGTCTGTGGTCAAAGCTGTAGCCTGCAATGTTGTGGCAGCTGTGCTTGGTAATATCCACAAGGAAAAGAAGAATCTGGGACCAACTGGGAATTTGAGATACATCTGCCCTTCTGCAGGTGGATATTTCCACTCCCGTCAGTGTTCTTGGAGGATTTGTTTGTTCATTCAACAAATGTCACATGAGTCTCTAGCATGTAATCAGGCATTCTTCTAAGTGTTAAGGATACATCAGTGAGCAAAACAGACAAAAATTCATGCTCATAGCACCTTTGTTTTAGTTAAGTTAGTGGAGAAAGAAACACTAAATATCAAAATAAATAAGTAAATTATTTAGCATATTAAAACATCACAGCCCTATCAAAAAATAAAGAAAACAAGGGAGTCAGAAGGGCTAGGGAATTCATCTTAATCTCACTGAGGAATATCATTTGAACAAAGACTTGAAAGAAGTTAGTCAGTGAGTCTTGCAAATGCATTTGTGGGAAGAACATTCCAGAGAGCAGGAACGAATGCACAGAGTGTGCATTGTGACAAAGCTGGTGTATCTCAGTGACAGGAAGGAAGCCGTTGAGGCCAGAATGGACTGAGTGAGTGGGCAATGGTAAGAGACAGTGTCAGATAGGAAATTGGGTGGCTGGAACTGGGAGGTCATAGTAGGAAATTTGGTTTAGATTCAGAGATAGAGAAGGAATTAGTGGAAGGTTTTCAGCACAGTAAACACCTCTTTTGACTTTCCTTGTTTTTGGAGAATACCTTAGGGAGACAGGAATAGAATAAGGGAGACCAGCTAGAGAAGGGCCTCACAATAAACAGATGAATGATGACTGCAGTGTGGATCAAGGTGATAGAAAAGAGGGGAAAAGCGGATGGGTTCTGGATGGATATATATAAGTAGCCCCAGAGAAACCAATGACAGGGTGAGTGTGGCGCTTGAAAGAAAGAGGAGCCGGAGATAACTGCAGAGTATGGAGTATTCTTTTATTAAGGCAGAAGACAGGGTTTACTGCTTTCTTGAGTACGATTGGACAGCACTGAGTAGCACAGTGCTACCTATAAAGTGTCAAAAAATAGGTTAAATATAGAGAAGGAATATTCTATACTTTTTTAAGGGCCACGTTTCTATAGTGATTGAGTTATCTTCTAAAAAATGGGGCAGACTTCTGCCTTCCAATTTTGGCTCTGTTAGTATCTAACTTGGTTGGTTACGTTGGGCAAGTCCCACCATCTTTCTGGATCTCATTCTTTCTTTCATTTGTAAAAGAAAGTGGCTTTACTGGATTCTCTGAGGTCCATTTCAGATTCAACCTTCTATAATCCTTTTTGTCTATTACCTGAAGAGGCTGAAGGTGTTCAGAACAGGACTCCCCAAGATGTGCCATTCTGGCATGTGAGTTATTTTAAGCTGAAGGCAATCGAGATCCTTCAAATTCAGGAAAGATGTCTCCCCCATCCCTTAACTACCTAGAAGAATCTAAATTTGGGGTCTTGTCCATAATAAGAGTTATTACCCAAGATAACCTTTTATGGCCTATCTATAGGACAGGGCAAGCTTCTAATTACTGAATATCTGCTCTTATTGTCTTGGGAATGACCTTCCTCCCCTTGAAGCCATTACTTGGCTCAAGATGCCGTATAATACCTCTTTTTCTCTTTCTGTCACAGAACTTCTCATGTATGTGGGTTTCCCATATGTACATATGTAATTAAATTGGGTTATTTTCTCTTGTTAATCTGTCTCATATCTACTTAATTATCAGACCAACCAGGAGAACCTAAAGGGTGGAGGAAAAGTTCTTCCTCTCCTACAAGGCAAATAGTTCAGTTTTCATATCTAATTGAAAATAATTGTAAAAATGTCACGCATAAGATTATCAAATGATTTTCTGTCAAAATGAGTTTGAGAAGCATTTTATTTCAGAAACTAACAAAGGATTATTTTAAAGCATTACCTGACCATAAACTATAGAAATTTCTAATGGTCTAAATATAGAACCACAGAAATATGTGCTTACAAATAAGAGAATATCAATAATATGTTTCTGTTAGTTTGAATGAATTGCAATTTTTGCTTCCTCCAAGGAAAAATTCTCTTATTGCCTCTTTTAGCCTTATGTAAGCCATCAAGAAGAAGCATCAATTAAAATCAAGAGTATTCGTTTTTCTCAGTTAGTCTGAGTAAGAGTTAAAAAAAACCATCACACGAAATAAGTAGATAATTGGCAGATTCCCCAGTTTGCATTATCCATCAATTTAATTTTATATTTTTAAAAATCAATCAAAGATTAAATTTTTTTAGCACTAAGGATGTATTCTGTGGTCAAAATTAGCTCTCAATGAGTCATTTCCAATAGTATATTTCATTTGCTAAGGAATTGAAATTTTGCATAAATCATTCTCATAGGTTGGCTATTTAAATGCTATTAATTCTTTCATTTACTCGATATACATGTGATGGGCCTTCTATGTATTAGGCCTATGAACTTTAGGCTTATGGTCTACTTCATGTCTACCTTCTACATGTCAAATGTACTAACTTAGAAGAAATTAGGGTGCAATGTTGTCTAAGAATGTTTAGAAATGCAATTCTAAAGCAAATGTCACTGCCTCATATCTTTAAACCCAATTACTGAGTGCTACTTACCATTCTTCAGTCTTTAACTGTGAGTAGTCTTGCCTAGCACTGTAGGTAAGCAGTAATTTTGAATTAGTTTTTTGTAGACAAAGGATTTTTCAACTAGATCAGTGGACTTGTGCATTTCAATAAAAAGAGGTGCCATGGTTTGGAGTAATCAGATTTGGAATCAAAAGCTTAAGCTCTGGCCCTGTCATGTATTGTGGATTCAAGGAATTTGTTTAAGGTGAGGCCCCATATGTAAAATGGAGCCTATGAATGGCTCCCTCTTGATATTATCTTAAGTCTCTGGTGATATTATGTATCCTATCATTTTAAACCAGGGGTAGGGAACTTCCAGCCCTTGGGCCATATACAGCCTGTTAAATCATTTGGCTTGGCCCTGCCAAGGCAACCACAGGCTGGACTCAAAATCAATAAATCTGGGAGCTTTTTTCATAGCTAATTTTTAAGTTGATAACTTTGTATGGCCTGTAAATGATGTTATAAATATCCAAATGGCCCTTGGCAAAAAAAGCTTCCCCATAAAATCTCAAAGTGTACCCTATCATATTAAAGTCTAAAACACTAATTCTTAGTTTTAAAAATAGCAACCATAATTATATACTTATATACTACTTACACATTAAAAAGAATAGAAAGATAAATAGCTTTTCATTAACTTGAAAATTTTAATCATCACCTCAATTTATTCATCAAATGTATCAAGTGAGAAAAGTCCTGAAAATGTGTCAACTCCTTTCTGTTTTCTTTACCTTGGTGCTGGCAAACTGGACTAGCATGCTCAAAGCAGAGAGACAGAAAAGAAAGGTGTTTACCTCTGCTTAGCTGAAAAGGGACAAGCAAAAAATAATGCATTTTAAAAGGAGAGTTTTATGCACAGCAAACAGCACACATAACTTATGGGCACAGTTTTCTTATTTCTAGCATTATATTACCCTTCAGAGATTCACTAAAGGTGTTCCATGGGTACCATTGATTAACTCATCAGGCTTTGTTAGGCTCAATGAGATCATGAAATAAAATACCCACTGAGAGATTTGAGAGTCTCAACAGAGAATGGAAAATGAACACTGCTAACCAAAAGCCTACCCGTACAGATAAGTTAAAATGGTCTTTTAACCTTCCACAATCAATTTAAAAACTCCACTGGGCAGAATAAATGATGGCAATGCCCATGTGGAATGAAGCATAGGCTATATACTAAGTGCCTATCACTCATCTCAGGCAGAAAAAGCCATCATTTTTGGCTGAATGTTAGCCTCATATTTTACTCTCTATGTCTCCAAGAACATGTTAGTTTGATTGTCTTGCTAAGTGTTTTATTCTAAAATATATATTTTAAATATTTGTAGGGTAGCATTTTAGCTTTACCTATTTAGTATTCCTCATAAAAGGTACAAAACTTCCAGATGATATCACAAAAACTAACGCCTAAAATAAGAAAAAAAAAATACCTAAATATGATGGAGCAGATTATTAACTAGCATTTCATATTAGAAAAGAATTTGGCACCTGGTCATGTCATCCACATTAGAAAATAATTTATTAAATTCCATGTTTGCTTGAAGTACTAGACATAGCCTTTATTGATCTGGGAACTGCAGCAGGAAATAGACTAACAGATCAGCATTTAGTGGCATTCAGAAACTGAATGAGGGAAAAACACAGACCAATACAAATATCACAAATAGTTGTTTTACATTATAACAAACACCATTTAAATAAAGCAATCAAGTAGTAACGGTCTCCTATATAAACCAGGTGCATTTGGGGTAAGTTTCAGCTCATACATTGGTGTGTGATGTGTGTCTCACACAA